TGGGCAGCTGGAAAGCCGCGAGCGCCCATTGGCGCAGGCGGAGGCCTCGTAGCGTTGGATTGGACTCGTTGATTTTTGTTCGTTTGTCAGCCGTAGCGTCGACGGCTGTGGCGACGGCATAATTTGAGTACCAAATACTTGTTTATCATGTGTTGTGGACTATTTCAAAATTTGAAAAAAACTCTATAAACGGATGTATGAGTCTTTTGGAATGTTATACATTTGGAAAGGATATCGACTTTACGTGGGTTCGGTATTGTGGGGGACTACTGCCACGTTTTCAGGCCTACACGTTCGTCCCCAGCGTTGCCAGCTGCGATGCACGAGACGTGGGCTTGGGACTTCTTCTCAGCACAGATGCGACTCAAGAAGGCTCCAGGTTGGGTGGGTCCCATGTACGACGAGGCGAACTCGGGCCTGGCGGCGACGCGTGGCAGTCCTTTCCCTTTGTGCAATTTCCAGCAAGTATTTACGAACAACCCGTCTGGGTAGCGAGGCAGAACTCGACAGACCCCAACATGCAGGTGAGTTTGTGGTGGTCTTGGGTCAGGCAAAGGCGAATGGTCCGCGCAAGGAGTATACTGGCATCCGTTGCATCGGACCTTGTTTCCATGGACCACCGCCTTTGGCGCGATTGCAGTCCAGACATTTCGAGACCTTGTCTTTGCAATCCTGTTGCCAGTCTAACCAGTAGGCAGTTCGTCTGAGGCGTTCCCGAGTCTTCATGTAGCCGAGGTGTCCAGCCAAGGGGGACGCAAGGGAAGCATAAAGCACTTCTTCTACGAGCGTGTAAGGTATGACCGGAACAAGGACGAGCTCGGGATTTCGAAGGGGTGTCTTGAAGGTGATGTATCGGCAGACGATGCTTTGTCTGACGACGAACTGATGACTGTTTCGAACGACCAGTTTGAGTAGGTGAGGGTCCAAGGGCACAGCGCCTTCGTCTAGGTATGCCCTCAACGCTACGATCCAAGTGTCGTTCACTGGTTCGTTGTACAGTCGGGACGAAGGTCGACGCCATCGGTCGTACAAGTCAATGGGCTGGGGGGCTTTGTTCGAGGTTGGTTCTGGTAGTCTTGGTTGTGTGGAGTTTACTTCGGACGAAGGCGACCTGGTTCGACTAGATTCTTTCCCCGTCGTGAGGTCTGGGTCAGTCTGAGCCAGACGTCTCATACTTCTCGTCTGGATCGGGCAAACTGGTCGTGATAATCCGTCAGCAGCGCAATTGAGTTCGCCTGCTCGGTGTATCACGGTGTACTCCAGTCCTTGTATTTCCATCGCCCACCTGGCTAGTTTGTGGTTGACTGATCGGGATCCTTGGTTGTAGAGCCAAGTGAGAGCTTCATGGTCGGTGTAGATGGTGAAGTGTCGCCGGTCAACATATGGACGGAACTTGCGCGTAGCCCAGACAACGCCCCAGGATTCGATTTCAGAGATACCCATCTCCTTGGTGATTCACTTCTGTTGGGCCTTGGACAGAGTCTGGCTTGCGTATGCAATGACGCGGTTCTTGCCATCTTGTTTCTGCATGAGGACCGCGTCCACAGCGATGTGACTTGCGTCGACCCAAATATCAAAAGGCAGGTCGAAGTCGGGATGAGCGAGGATGGGAGGCGAGACGAGGCAGCGTTTAAGTTTGTCAAGGGCTACGTCGCAGTCTGGCGTACAGACGAAGGTCTCGTCCGTGACCAAGGCTGAAAGTGGTGCTGCAATCTTGGAGAAGTCTCGGACGAAGCGCCTGAAGTAACTTGCGAGGCCGAGAAATGCACGGACTTCTG